ATTTTTGTTATTTTCTTTTGAGTGATTGTAAAAGAGAAGAGATTCAAAGGAACTTCAAGAGTTTGGTGGAGGACTTGAGATAAGTTTTTATCTTTTTGTTTTAGACTACTTTTGGTTTTTATTGAGACTTGTTGTTGGTTTGACAATGATTTCTTCTTTTAAAGTAAAGTGTGGTTTTGATTTCTTCATGGATTCTGAGTAGTTTTCTTTATCTTTCTTCTTAAAATGATAAGTAATTAAGTTTTAGATGGAAGTTGTGGAGAGTATTCAACTTTAATGATTTAAATCCATGCACTTCATTTACTTCTTGATTTGGTCAATCCATATATTAAAATTTGTTGTGAGAACATGTAAGAACTGGGCTGGTATTGTCTCAATCAACAATTGGAAAGAATCACATGAGGTTGTATGAATGAGAATATAGTTCATATGATTGAATACAAATAAATAGGGAAATATTCATTGATGAGTGTAGAGTTAGAGGACTTTAAAGTGAAAGGTTAAAGTCCTCAACTTGGTTTATTGTTTTAGTTTCTGATATGAGAATGTTAGCCCCTAGGTGGAGGGAATTGAGGGAACTCTAGAGTGAGAGCTAGTATCTTCCCTGCCTAGCCGGTCTTACTATTCAAACTTTAAATTAGTCCATGTTCTTTATAGCATCTCTAGTAAGGGCAAACAATATTATTGCTCCTATTTGACACAACACAATTTGCATACTTTCACAACAGAATTCCTATACTTATTACTGATTATATTTTTATATTAAGTACATTTCTTCTACAACAACTTTAATTATCTTTTTTAAGTTGTTACTATTTTGTTAAACTATCAAAAATACCAAAAATATTTAAATTTTAAATTCCTGCAAAAATCATTCTTAGTTTAAGTAATTATCTTTTTAAAATAGAAAAACTTTCTAAAAAGTGCATATTGCATAATCTTCCCTGTGGGTTCGATATTTAGGTTTTAATCAAAAAGTCCTATATCACTTGATAACGATACGTATACTTGCATAGTATCTCAATATAAATATATATAAATTAAAAAGTTAAATTCTTATTTTTCTTCAAGATCAAGTTTTTGGTTTTGTTGCAAAATAAGGAAATATAAGAGAAAAATACCACCAGAACTATTATTATACTGTGCATAAACATTAACTCGGGGATCAGACGGCGCCAGTGGCTCGTGAATTAATTTCACCCTTTCTGTCAAATGGTGTCGTCGGCACTGATCCTGACATCGTCAGCATTGAGGAAATTCTGGCCTCTGTTCTGTAGGTCTGTGCTATCGGCGTCCATCCTGGCGCCGTCGACGCTGAGTATTTCTTCAAAAATGTCATTTTGACTCCAAATTCTATCCTTTTTGCTTCAAGTCCTAAAAATCAACAACTTGCAATAAAACATGAAAAATACCATCCTTTAAAGCGCAATATCTCCAGAAATGAGTATAAAATATAGGTCTAAATATGCATATATATTTGGTGCATCAGAAGACATTAAAACTTGAAGTTGAACCTGAAAATGCAACTTGGTTTGAGAAGATATTGTGGAGGAGACAACCCATGGTTGCTAACAAAATATCTTCCAGTAATTTGTGACTAATCAAACCGCAAATTTTAATGACCCGTGACAACAAAATCATGGGATCCGGATCAGGTCATCCCAAACAAAAAATATAAATAAATAACAAATTGACAAAACTTAATCAGCTAATAAATCGTAAAAAACCTAAAATTTTTCAACCCTTAAAATATGAAAAAGATACTAAAATGTAAATGAAACCCTAATGAACAAAAATCACCTAACGCAACTTGAACCCCCAGGGTTCAGATCTACGAAGATTTCTTGAACAACGCAATGTGGTTGCGGACAAGAATCTTCCGGTCCTGGTTTAACCACCTTTTTAACTAAGTAGATCTAAATTCTCTGACAACCCCAAGACATCGGAGCGATAGACACCTTGACCGATTTGTCTAAAAGTTAAAAATTCAACAAACTAAATCAACAAAATTGAAATATAATTTCATACTAAATTTATTTTGCAAGACTATCGAAGTCATAAGGGGATTTGTGTTTTAGGATTACTTTACATGTTATTAGGATGTGTTAACTCTGTTTTGCAGGGACAAAACTCCAAAACTCGAAACGATGGGTTTCAACTGAAAATTTTTTTTTTTTTGACAAAATGATCAAACCAAACATCAAAATAATGACACAAGGACATAAAATAATGATAAAACAAATTAAAACAAAACAAAATTAACAAAATAAAACCAAACTTAAAAGATAAAAAATAACAACAAACATAAAAAAACCTATAGGTAGTATTGAATCCTTAAAAACATGATACCCTTAAGATTGAACGTTGATGTTTCTTTCCTTGACAACATTTACTTTCTTTGAGAGCAAATGATAACCTTAATCGGGAGTTTTTTTAGGCAGTATTAGCTTCTTAAGATGTAATTAACTATAGGAGCTGACTCTTATAGAAGAAAGAGAAACTCAGAATAGGCACTATATATAAATCTCTGGTTATGAGATTTTTATGTGGTTTTCTTTGTATAAGTATCTCAGGAGTCACACTCTAGAGTTCTCCTTACAATGATTATTATAATGAAGTTCTCCCCACTTTTTTCTTTTGTATGTTCTCTATTCTCATTTGCCCTTTCCTTTTTTCTTCGAGTTTCCTAATATCTTAAGGTTACCTACATGATCTGAAAAAAGGTTATTCAAAGAACAGGGTGATGCAATAGACAAAAGAGTGGCGACTCCTTGATAACAATGACACTGACATCAAACCGATAACAACATGAGGAGAATTGGTGGTGGCAGTGTTCGACCAGTATGGCGGTAACCAATAATGGGTCACTCTCCTAACCAGTAGGACGAGCCATCAAAGTTAATGGACAAGTATAAAATCATGAAAGAAGTCCACATTGTGATTGTTAAACTGAAGTACAAAGAAACGACAACAAGTGCCCAAAAATGTGAAGCATACATTATGCAAATGATTGTAAGAATGTTACATGCAACATGACATACACAAACGAGATGTACTAGTAAAACAAGCTACATATGAAGAAGAATTACATATGTCTTGGGACCCAGGGTGCCATGCAACTAGCAGAAACCTGCTACAAATGAGTTTGAATTGATTAAAAGGATACTTATAAAAAGGATTCACACCTTACCTGAGAGGCACTCATTGAGCACACAAAAAAAACATGCATGATATGTACCAAGCAAATGACATGAAGGCAGCGACCCAAAAGATGGGTGTGTCGAGGAGGCAATAACCTGGGGATGGGCATGTTGTGGAGACAGTGGCTTGACATATGGGTATGCCAAAGAAGTTGTTACCTAGAGATGGATATGTCGTGGAGGCAACAACTCGACAGATGGGTATGCCGAGGAGGCAGTGACTCGAATATGGTTGTGTCGTGACAACAGTGACCCAAAAAAAAGGATATGTTGAGGAGGCAATGATCCGGAGGAGGGCATGCCGTGGTGACAGTGGCCCGAACAAAATGGTATGTGGAGGAGGCACTGGCCCGGAGATGGGCATGTCGCGATGGCAGCAACCCGAAAAAAAGGGCATGCCGATGAGTTTGTGACCCGAAGGGAGTTGTGATCCTCATTAGGGAGAACCACCAACACAAGTGTAAAACATAAATAAAAACACATACGGTGCAACATGCAAGCAGGAAAGCATGCAAAATGATGCAAAAGAATACAAGTATGCAAGTGGTCGGTAGACTGGGTTGTGTTGGTCGTTCGGACTGAAGAAGTGGGTGGTTCAATTAGGAGTAATCGATCCGACCCAAATGGATGGGTGATTGACCCGAGATGGCAGATCTAACCCAAAGTGATTGATCAACGTGTAGAGGTCGATCAAACCCAAGGAATAGGGTGATTGACCCAGGACGACCGATGGAACCCAAAGAGGGTGATCAACACGTAACATTCAATCAAACTCAAAGGATATGGTGATCAGACTAGGAAGACTGATAGAAAAGACTGATTCAAACTATTTTGGTGAATTAGATGCTGAATTTGTAAGAAATATAATGTTAAAGGACTACTATTCTAAATAATACTCAAGAAATTTTTGGGTTAAGTAGAAATAAAGAGATTAAAAAAATTTTATGAATATAATAACTCACTCCATTGATTTTAACGTTAAAAGGATATGAGATGGTATCTACTGAATTATTTCTAATATTTTTTTTTCTTGTAAACTTACTTGAGAGCAAATAATAAGTTAAGTTTCGAGGAATTGATAAGTATGTAAAGTACTATGATTATGTGATATTTCTCTTATATTTTTTTAGCTATTTTTAAGATTTTTCTTAGTATATGTTATTTATGTGTGTTATATACATATAAAACATATCTTATGAAGAATATTTGTAATTTTTGACCCAGCGTCTTGACACCAAGCATGTAGCACTTTGACACCCATTTGATAAATCCCCAGCACTAGTAGGTAGTGTCATGATACCCAAAGTGGGATTTTAGATGTCAGAAACCAAAGAGCAAGATACCACGACACTCAAAGCAAGCACTATAGTGCCCAAACAAGTAGTGTCCTGGTAAAAATTAGCATTATTACACCCATGCCCTAATTTAAAATTCAGATCATAAAGCACGTCGATTGAATCCAACACTGACACACATTGCAATAGAGCCACATTGCCACAATGTGATGCCCTAGTGCTTAGCATATACTTACTTTTGTTTGCGTGATTTTAATAATGGTTTTGCCTAAATTCCTTTAGAAAGGGAAATTTTGGAAGAAGGGAGAGGTCTCTTAGAGCTTTTAGTAGTATTCTTAGTCTTTCTTTATGTCATCATAGTCTAAGTTTTCTACTTTTTAGTTTTTAGTGAGTGAGAAAGTTTGCATTAAGAGATAATTGTGAAGGAAACAAAAAGGGAAGAACACTTTGGATGAAGGATCCACTTATGAGCAACGAACTATTTCCTGGTTTTTTTTTATTTCCCTTTATTAGTAATCTTTGCTTTGACTTCAATGGATTTCATTTTTATTTACACTCAAGAGTAAGAACTCATCACACGAACCCAATTTTAGCTAAATTTGCCCTTTGCTTTCCTCTACTCTTCAGACTTCCAAAACCACTCTCCGCCACAGCTCTGAAATTTTGTATGCTAAAGCCCAAGTATGAATTCTGTAAAAAGTTGCTTGCAATCCGGCCAGCTTAACCGTGCACGCGAACTGTTCGACAAAATTCCTTACCCGGATCTCTACACCTTGACACTCTTATTATCTGCATACTCGACGCACGGCCTTCCCAAACAATCCATAGCTTTGTATAGAAAGCTCTGCAAGGAGAAGGATCTCTATCCCGATCGATATGTTATACTCTCAGTAGCAAAGGCTTGCTCCCTTTCCATGGATGCCATCACAGCTATAGAACTTCACAGCGATGCGATTCGATTCAAGCTTAGCTCAGATCTGCCTGTTGGTAATGCATTGGTTGATATGTTTGGTAAATGTGGGTTGATTGAGGAAGCAATAAGTGTCTTCGATCAACTGCCTGATAAAGATGTGATAAGCTGGACTTCACTAATTTCTGCCCATGCAAACTGCAAGCAATCAGGAGAAGCTTTACAAGTTTTTCGTGTGATGTTGCTTTCTGGCATGAAGCCCAATTCTGTAACTCTGTGCACGGTGCTGCATGTTTGTTCAGCAATGAAAGCTATCAAATTTGGAAAAGAGATTCATGGTTTTGCAGTGAGGAATAGGTTTGAGAGTGATGTTTGGGTGAGCAGTGGATTAATCGATGTGTATGCGAAATCATTTAATCCACACCTTGCAAGGCATGTGTTTGATGGATTACCTGACAAGGATACTGTTTCATGGAATGTGATGTTGTCATCTTATTTCTCAGTTGGGAATTCAGAGGAGGCTTTGGAGCTATTTGGAAAGATGAAATCTGGAGGTCTGATGAATTGTGCTTCCTGGAATTGCATGATTAGTGGATTTGCACAGAATGGTAGGATTATACAATCAATTGAAATGTTTGCTGAGATGCAGCATTCTGGTTTCAGGGCTAATGAGATCACTATAGCTTCTGTGTTGCCTGCCTGTACTGATGTGGAAAATAGAAGAGGTGGAAAGGAGATTCATGGGTTCATATACAGGTATTGTTTCATAAAGGATAAGATGATTTTGACTGCCCTGGTTCTGTTGTATGCTAAATGTGGAGATTTAATGAAATCTAGGCTTGTTTTCGACCGAATGATTGATAAAGATGTTGTTGCTTGGAATGCAATGATCTTTGCGAACTCCATGCACGGTTGTGGTGAGGATGCTCTATGTCTGTATTATCAAATGATAAAGTCAGGCATGAAGCCTAACTCCATGACATTCATGGGTGTTCTGTCTGGGTGCAGCCACTCTCTTCTTGTCCAAGAGGGTCGATCGATTTTCAGCTCGATGAGTTGTGGTTATGGGATTGAACAAGATGCTGAACATTATTCCTGCATGGTTGATGTCCTGAGTCGTGCCGGTCGCCTCCAAGAGGCTTATGAGTTTATTCAGGGGATGCCAATGGAACCAAAGGCTAGTGCTTGGGGAGCTCTGCTTGCTGCATGTAGAGTGTACAAGAATGTTGAGCTGGGAATGATTTCAGCAAACAGATTGTTTAAGATTGAACCAGAGAATCCTGGAAACTATGTCTTGCTTTCAAACATACTTATGAATGCCAAATTATCAGAGGACGCTTCGAATATTAGGAGGCTGATGAAAGATAGAGGAGTTCGAAAGGCACCCGGTCGCAGTTGGATCCAGATTAAGAACAAAGTGCATACTTTTGTCAAAGGTGATGATAACATTGCCTGTAGGGATGACATATATGATTTCTTGGATAAGATAGGAGAGAAGATGAAGCGTGAGGGTTACGAACCAGACATCGAATTCGTGTTGCAGGATATTAGAGGGGAGGAAAAGGAGGAATCATTGTGCAGTCATAGTGAGAGGCTTGCAGTTGCATTTGGAGCTATGCACCTGAATGGTGAATCAGCTATAAGGGTATTCAAGAACTTGAGAATATGTGGTGATTGTCACCATGCTATTAAGTTTATGTCTAAGATTCTTGGTGTAGGTATTATTGTGAGGGATAAGTTGAGATTTCATCATTTCAGGGATGGATTTTGTTCCTGTGGTGATCGATGGTGAAGTGGAGAGTGATGAAGGATCATGTTTCTATGAGGAGAAGAATGCTGGATATAACCATAGTAAGTTGTTGGTGGTGTCAAATCAATGTTGTCAAATGATTGGAAAGGGTCATTTATGAAATATGAACAAACTGAGGCTATTATAAGAGCCTCCAGCCACCCTTAATGTGTCTAACAATTTGAGTACCACCTCTTTAAGGCCAACTATATCAGAGGGGATTCAAACCCCCGACCTGAGGGGTCTTATATGCCAACCAACAAGTCGGGTATGAGGCACATATATATATATCGCGGATGCCAACTATGCCACTCACCGTGACTCTTTGGTAGTGCAGCCTAGAGTATGTCCCCTGTGATCACGTGTTCGATCTCGCCTGAGTGCATCTGCCTTGCAGTGCAGGATTGAGTGATTAGATACTTGAGGGTAGTTGCCGGTACATTTTCCTAGCTCCCCCATTTTAATTTTGATTGTGTTAAGAGATGTCCAAATATCTATAATATTGATGTAGGAGTTTCAGATCACAAGATAAATTATGCCCACTTATTGTTATTATATACTCCTTGTTAATGGGTCTCTATCCCTTATTATTGGGATAGCGAAAATAAAAAAATTAAGTTTGGTTTTTTTTGGTTTTTTCATTTGTTCGGAATCTCTCTTGCAATCCCTTTTTAAAGAGCAAAATTGCAAAAGAATGGTACTATAAAATGATATTCTTATCAAAATTTTGAGAATTTGAATTTGAAGACCAAAGTTTGCATAAGAGGATTAATAATGCTTTATAAGTTCATAGGTTTTTTGAACTTTGAAGTTTCTAATGAGCAATTTTGTCTTTGTTATTAGCATAGATCTTTCTTCTCATGAAAAAAGAATCAAATTATATTATAACATTTATATTAAGGGGCATTTACATGCATATCATACAATTCTTATGTATTTACATATGTAACACCTAAATAATTCATATTTACATGTATATCGTTCAAATATTAACATCACATGCCACCATCACCATCTTTTTAAAAATGAAATCTACCATTGTAGCATGGGTTTATCAGACCAAGGAGTTATAAGTGTAAATATCAAACTTTTTGTACTAGATATGCAAATACATAAGAATTGAGTGGTATGTACATAAATTTCCCTTATATTAAGTATACTTATTATTTTTACCTAATAAATGTATTTTCCTTCATATTTGATAATAAAGATATTTTTTTAATGTGTTAAATGCTACCAAAGAGCTATCTTAGAACCAAAGAATAATAAAGCCACCAAACCTTTTTTTCTTTTCAAAATAACATTTGAGGCCTATCCAGATCATACTACCTTAACTCGAAATGGTTATTCGTTGCTTTTATTATTGATTATACTTGTGTGTGTTGGCTATACTTAATGGAAAATAAGAATAGTTTAGAATTCACAGAATGGTTAAAACTTATACTCTTGTAATGTAAATACATCACCTTATTAGTGGTTTGTAGTAATTTAATTATATTTACTTAAAATATAATGATATTATCCTTCAAACTATCGACCCCAACACAACATAATAAAATGATCTTGAGATGATGTCATTTACATAACATGTTATCATATTGAAGGAAATATTTCTCATATGTTATCTGGGTACATTGAATAATCCCATAATCATAAATCTATAAGAATACTTATTTTCAAAATTTTCAAATATTATACTCTGTAATATAAGCCAAATTAAAAGGGGGTATAAATGATTTTTTTCCTAACAAAAGGAAAAATATTTGTATCCATCAATGCACCTTTGAAAATAAACTTTTTTTTTCCCAAAACAAAAGCAACTATTAAGGGATATGTAATTGAAGGAAAAAAGAAATTAATATTTTTTCACAAGAACTCTCCAAACTCAATAATATCATCAAGTGCCTTAGAATTTCTAAGCTTAATATTGAGTCTTAAACTCTTATTCTCTGGCCTCAAAAGATCCCTTTGAACTTCATAATTACTTATAAAGGATGATCTACAAAAGAATGTAAAACTACTCTACCTCACAAAGTTTGCCATGAATTGTACTTAAATGTGAAAATTTCACAAACCCTTCTTTCATATGATATTACAATAGAATTGCCCATTATTCTAAGAAGAGAGGTTCATATACACATTCGACCTCGTTTAATAAATGAGCTAAGGATATGATCATCCATCCTTTTTGATAAAAACTTGATCTCCAATCTATTAGAAATTAAAAACTTAATCAAATTAAGAGTCTGTTTTGGGCAGTTACAGCTTATTAAGAAATAGCTGTAAAACTGCTGAATAATAATTTGATGCTCAAAAAGTTATCGTGGTCATTATAATTTTTTTTTAATAAAAATCAGACAACAGCAAGAAAGCTGTCACTGCACCTAATCAAGAGGGATAAGAAAACATAAATTTTAGCTGCATCCTTTTCAAAAAGCTGTCAAAACACAATTTATCCAAACAGTCAAAACTGCAATGATGCGTCGTATCGCCGCCCCAACACGGGCCTTAAAAGAGAATCTTAATAAAAAATAAGGGAGAGAAAGAGGCTATTGCATTGGAGACCAAAGCTTATAAAAATAATATAATATGAAAATTTATTCAAATACTCAAAGATTGCATCCATATAATATGTTAATGAATCATAGAATTTTGATGATATGGATCCATACAGAGAAATAAATCATTTATAGCTGCAAGAGGAGTCATATAAGCTTGTAGGTCGGTTATTGTAAAACTTCTTCTAGCTAAACTTAACATAACTCAAGTACTTTCAATGGTAAGCATCTTTAAGTGGCCATTTTCCCATTTGAACTTCAAAATTGAAAGAATATACCTACATAGATTCTTCTTTAGTGATTTGTGCATGTGAAGAAAAAGTCAAGTTTGAAAACTAATAGAATCAATTTATGCACTACAAAAACCACCTCAGCCCTGATTCAAAAGGTTCATCAAACTCTTACAAAATGAAGATCAAAGTGTTTTATATATTCCTTCCACTTATATAACTGCTGGTGGTTTCATGACCAAAGGATTTGCTGGATCCTATTTGGATGATTGATGAGGTTTATTTCTTAGATGTTTACAAATAATGAACACATTCTGCATACTCATCTGTCAAATCTAACATTTCACTTTAATAATGCACCAAATTGTAGCAAATCCCAAAACACTAAACAGATTTCATACATAACAGAAAACTAATAGAACACAGAAATAGTTGCTTCTGCATACTGTTCCACATAAAACACCTGAAATTACAGCATCATTAGCAATTGCCCATGCCTTAATTAAACATAGCAGGGCTGTAACATTACTCTAATCATCTAGCAAAGATTACAGAAAAAGGGATTTTTTTTTCATCTTAGTTGTCTATAACAGCTATAAGCAACAGCTATCGATGCAATCGCGGCGACAACAGCAAGAGCTGCATAAGTGTCCTCGCTCTCCCAGCTCTCGAACCAAGTTGGCAATGTGCTCATCTTTCTCGCGCTGCTGCTAGGCTTAGTTGCCTTGTTTATCTGCTGTGGAAGCATCTTTTGGTTTTCATGCTCTTCTGAATTCAGACTATTGTTATCTGGTTTTTCATTGAAGGCTCCATTCTGACAGCAACTGGAGGTTGCAATGTCCTGACAACAACTAGCTGCTTCAGTTGACAATCCATTTGTGATACCTGTTTCATTTGCTTGGTTTGGATGGATAGGATTTAGCTCCTCTGTTTCACCATTCATTTGTAACCTAAACTCTCGAGCCTTCCGCTGTTCTTCCTCGTTTAAGCCCATTTGACCCCTACCAGTTTGAAAAAAAAAAAAAAAAACAGAAAAAAAAAACAGAAAAGGTTGAAGAATGTTCAAAAATTATAAAGAGCATTTGTATACATGCAATTAAACTCTTGTGTATTTATATATTTAACACAAGAAGTTTCATATTTACATGTGTTACACTTACATATTACACTGAAAATAACACTATTACAAGCTTCTTGAAAGTGAAAAACAAATTTTCATGCATAAGTTTACGCACCTGTTATGAATATAAATATGAAAGTATTTGAGTTAGATATGTAAATACCCAAAAAATGTGTAAAATGTATGCAAAATTCTCAAAATTATAATATTCTTCAGCTAATAAGAATTAACATGCTGGCATCGTATTGCTGATATTAATTGAACCTTATGACCAAGTACTAATGGAGAAAATTTTTTGCACTTCTGCTCATTATTAGATACGAGTAAATTAAACAAGACTGCTGAAATAATTGAGTTACAAACCCAACTAAGTCATGATGTGTCTGTACTTTAATTAGTAAGGGTATGCCTGATGCCTGCATTAAGAAGAGCTAAGGAAATAAGAGAAATATTTAAGGGTTGAAACTGTTTAAAATATAATCAAACATATTAGAATCTTTAACAAATGTCTAAAAAAGAAATAACATTGTCTTGAACATGCTCAGATTCAGCAATTGATGAAGGCAGCAATCTTTCTTGAGCCAAAAACTACTAGAAAACAAGAGTAATATTTTAGATTTCTCTAATAGATGCAAATTGCTAGCTATTAAGGTGGAACCTACAAATTTTTTCTTCAAATGAAAGGGAAAAGTTCAGGAAGACTTGGACGAGGCACATAAAACTCACCTGAAGTTGTGGGTGGAAACAGATGGTACTGACTCATCAAAAAGATCAAACAACGCCATAAAAAAATTAGAAAACGAAATAATAGTTAAACTGACAATACAAAGGCTTTAAATAAAGAATAAACTAGAAAAGGATTTGAAAATGTTATAATAACAATAAAACTTCAAATAAAAAACAGATGAAAACGAGAGAAAAAACACACAAATTATCCAAAATATAGGACACAGATTTATGTTTTTTGATGTAATTCACCTACATCCAAGCCCAGATAGAGATCAAATATTTTACTAAGCATTAAAACAAGTATACAAAGAGATTATGCTTCATATGAATAAATAAAATTATCTATATTCTCAACCGAGAGAGAAGCGCATCAACCAATTGTTAATTTAAGGGCTAGACATGGAGACTAGGACCATGCTAGTTCCCTTCTTTCTTCTCTTCTCTGTTATGAAAGCAACTTCCTCTCTCTCTTTTTTCCTTCCCTTCATTTGCCTTGTGGCTTGTGAGACTCTTGCAAGATTTGATTTATTCCCCATTCATAGTTGTAACATGAGGTGATTGATACCGGAACTATGTTGAAACTCGGCAGAAATACAAAATCAAACTTTAATTAATATAGAAATAGGGCTACAACACACCACAAATTGGAAAGGAAATACAAACACAAACTAATCTCCAACTAGGACCGAAAGAAGAGATCTGAGGGCGATGGTAGCGCCGACAAAAGGGTAAAGGAGAAAGGAGAAGGGTTGAAGCTGGAGGGTAGTTTGGAAGGGTGGCAGGTGGCAGGTTTGGGATTTGGAGATGTGGGTGGTCGGAGAAGTTGTAGGTAATGGGGGAGAAAGGTGCATGTTGATGGGGAAACAAACTGAACAACAAGAAGGACCACTGTTGGTAGTCGGTAGGATGGAGTTGGGGTGGTCGGGAAGTTTGGATAGCAAGGCTGGCAGCAACTGGAGGGGGAACAGGCGGCTGGAAAGTGAGAGGGAGAGCTGTACTGCAGGGGAAGTGCAGCCGGTGATAGGAGTTGCCGGCAGGAAGGTCTGGAGAGGAAAATCGGTGGCTGCTAGGTTCGGGAGTAGGGAGGAGAGGAGATTGGAAAGTATACAACACCACGTCAAAAACAGAGAATAGGACCATGTTGGTTCCCTTCTTTCTTCTCTTCTTTGTTATGAAAGCTACTTCCTTTCTCTTTTTTCCTTCCCTTCATTTGCTTGTGGCTTGTGAGCCTCTTGCAAGATTTGATTTATTCCCCCTTCATAGTTGTAACATGAGGTGATAGTGATGCCAGAACTAGGTAGAATCTCAAAGGAAATACAAAATAAAACTTTAATTAATATAAAAATAGTGCTACAGCACAGCAAAAACTGAAAAGGAAATATAAATACAAACTAATTTTTGACTAGGACCGGAAGAGGAGATCTGAGGGCGGTGGTGGCGTGCGTCGGCAAAAGGGTAAAGGAGAAAGGGGAAGGGTTGAAGCTAGAGGGTAGATTGGAAGGGTGTTGGGTGGCAAGTTTGGGGTTTGGTAGTGTGGGGTGGTCAGAGAAGCTGTGGGTAATGGGGGAGAAGGTTGATGGGGAAAAGAAACGAACAGCAAGAAGGACGGCTGTCAGTGGCCGGTAGGATGAACTTGGGGTGGTCAGGAAGGTTGGACAGCAAGGCTAGCAGCAGGTGGAGGGGAAGCAGGCGGCTGGAAGTGAGAGGGAGAGCTGGACAGCAGGGGAAGTGTGGCTGGTGCTAGGAGTGGCCGGCAGGAAGGTCTGGAGAGGAAAATCGGTGGCTAGAAGGTTTGGGGAGTAGGAAGGAGAGGAGATTGGAAAGTATGCAACGCCACATCGGAGAAAGATACAATTGGAGCACCACTACCTCGGAGGATACAGCCCTAGAACAAGGAAAACAACTTCACAAAGGAACTTAAAATCTCAAACACCCCAAAACTAACGCTAACCCTCATAAAACATTTAAAAAGACTCCAATAGGTGGCATATCCTATTGTTACTATATTGGTGGCGCTCTAACAAGTATCTTTCTTATTGCCTTGAATAATCACCAAGGCATTTTTTATCATTTTTTAAATATCATAAATGAAAATGACATAATATCCTTTTGTAGCTAGTTGTCTAATTTAAATAAAACTTTCTTTTTTTTTTCTCGAGCAAGTAATATGCATTAATTTATCTAAATTCTGAGTGTTGTCATTAATTGTTTTGATTATCACACGCCTCTAGTAATCATAATATTTAATTTATCAGCAGCAAATAATATTTCACCATAATGGTTTGTGCACTAGTTTTTCAATTATTCTTCATTAAAAGGAATGGATAAATGTACTTGATTCTACCATCCATGTACATCATGTCTTTCAGAACATAATACATATCTCTTCTTTTGACTTGTGCATTGTTTCTGCCTCCTTTTTCTACATTCTTTCATCATGTGAATGTGTGCTATACATGTGTGCTATAATAGACTTGCATCTTTTTTCGTAGTTTGATTAATAGCTTTGATCTGCATCTTGTTGTTGCCAATGTTATAAGAATTGCTCCTGTTTTTAATAATTAAAATAAAAATTGATGTACTTTAAACTTTCTCTCAACATTTGAAATCCCCATTGAAAATAAAATCTCTAACACCATTAAGCTTCATTGCAAATGAACAATAGAAACAACCAACAACAATAAAATTGCCATCCCAGCACTCGACCAATGATAAGAGCAAGCTCAAGGCATGTATTCCATCATCAAAACTGATTTTCATAGAGTTCAATCGTCTCTTAATTAAGTTGGACCCATCAATATGATCGGAGATTGAAGCTCTTTAAGATTCATAAGATTGAAAATACATAAATATTAAGTGTACTATATTAACTAGAGAGAACTTCTTGTGCATATTGGAGAACACCTTCATAACGCATAATGTTTTCATCACATGAAGGATGTTGATGTTGAAGTTGAAGTCAACATTTCATGCTAAGGAATAGTCAAATGAGCCCTAGAACTTGCATGTTGATAAACTCCCACAGTGGTCCTCTATTGACCGTGACTTTGCTCCATTTAATGGTTTGCGTTTTCTTTAGTACAGTGGTCCTCTATTAAAACTTGTCAAAAAATGAAGTCCCAGATATCAAATTTGTCAATCTTGTTATTCCCATTCTCCATACTAAAATTTGAAAGTTTTTTAGACTAAAACTCTGATACTAGTTGCTAGCATAGTAATAAAACTAGAAGAAAAATCAAATAAAAATAAGAACAAACACACAAAATATCTCAAATATAAGACAATTTTATTTGGTTTGGTGAAATTTACATGCATTCACAACCAAACAAAGATCAAATATTCTAATAAGATTAAAAAACAGTATATGGAGAGATTACACTTCAAAAGAATAAAGAAAAAGATATCACTTTCTCAGAATTAATGACCAAGAGGGAGACATTGAGAATAAATGTTGATGTTAGTTATCCTCTTCTCTCATGAATGAGGTTCTTCCTCGTATTCCTTCTCTCTAACTCTTATCTCCTCCTTATTGGCTTATAGTTTACGGGAAGCATGCAACCAATAAATTCTTCCCATTTTATGGATGTAGCATAAGATAGTAGGTGTGAAAATTAAATATGAATGAAGCTTGAGTTAGTAACAACCATTTAGAAAATCTGGTATGAATAGATGTTAAGTTGGTGGCAACCAATTTTAAAAATCAAGATAAAATCCTATCTCATATAGTTAAGAAAATTTAAGCTCCACACAATAAAATATACCTAAAAAAAACAAAAGATATGTACGAAATATGAAAGTATGTTTATTCCAAGGGAATTGATCCTCAGAAGCACTAAATTGTGATGTTGTTTCGACCGAAAAATTGGTTTACACAAGTTATGTAGACAACACATAAACAATGCACCATGATTCAAACTGAATTAAGACTCCCACATTTAGATTCGTCATATAGTTTGCACACTTCACACTTTTTATTCAAACCGCAATGGCATTTAACTTCAAAATTGGTATAGATAGAATTTTATAAAGCATATGTAGAATTCATAGAAATTCATTATACTAATGGTGGAACAGTAGGTGCCCATACAGGACTAGTGGTAAAAGCAAAAAACTTACCATTCCATGTTCCTAAATAAAAGTACAGGGCTCAAT